CGCCACAAGTAGCGGCCCGCCGCGGTCGCCTACAGGGCGTGCCTCCGCCACCAGATGCAGTTCATGAAGGAGACCGACTGCGGAGAGCTACGGGGGACCTTCCTGCCTCAACCGGCTCGGGGGCCCCACGACTGCCCGACTGGGCGAGATTTGACATCCAACACAGTCTGCAAAACCTCCGTAGTCACGAACCTCACGTAGTCAAAAAGGAACTCCGTAATTTGCACTTACGGTGGTATTATGCGAAGGAACCCAAGATGAGGCTGATCCTAGATAAAGTGGGACTGGATAGCGTTCGATTAAATATGATCAAAGAAATCTGCGACACATGTCGGGAATGTAGAGCATGGGAGCGCCCAGGTAATTATACGCTGCCTTCCGTAAGCCTTCCTGGAAATTGGCTTGGCGAAGGCGAAGTAGATCTCATGTGTTACAAGAAACGGACCATATTTCATATTATGGACCGATGTATCCGCCTGGCAGCAGGCCAAGAAATTCTTGATAGAGAGCGTGACACTATACTCGACGCCGACCACTACTGCTGGATCGCCTATCATGGGCCCTTCAAAGTTTTGTATTCAGATGGAGAAGGTGCCCTCAATAATGAAACTGCCAAGGCCATGATGGCGAACAAAGGTACGACACTTCGTACCCGAGCGCCTGGCCAACACGCGACCTCGATCGAGTCACGCAACGGCATTCTTAGGGGCACTCTTCATGTGATTGAGGAAGAGTTGGACAGACACAACATCCCCACTGTATTTACCAGAGTATTGGCTGAAGGCATCTTCGTCACCAACGCTTTCACGCTTTACAACGGAGTATCGCCGTGCCAAGCACACACTGGGCGACGGCCCTCTTTTCTTCCTGACCTCGACACCCTTGACTTCCCTAGGGGGCCGGAGACGTCAGGCCACGAACGCGAACGCCGTGTGAGGGAAGTTAGCCTGGAAGCAATAACTCAAGCCACGGCGGTAGCTAAGACAAATCGTGCTCTCAGGGCTAAGACGGCCCCAGATGGTGCTCGCCTGTGCTCAGCAGGGGACTTGGTCGATTATCACCGACCTACAGCCACTAAGGACGACCATGGAGGCTGGAATGGCCCGTTTCCTGTGATCCGTGACGTGCCTGAACGAGGACACGTCGTCGTCAAGGCAGGATCGCGCGAGGTAATTGTAATGTGCCCTGATGCTCGCCACACGCTATACATTGAATGCCTTCTTACCAGGGAACTTGGCATGGACAACATGGCCATGCAAACCGCCTTTACATATGTGGCACACCTTGGTGCAGGGAAACCTGCCAAAGTCTTTGGCTATATTCCAGACTACAAGGGAAACCTCAATCTTTCCGACGACAGCAAGTTTCACCCGCGCGTACACCTTGCATTGCAGTATCTCGTGCGAAATTATTTCCGAGTTGAGCGTGTCCAATCTACCTGCAGTAAAGTACGCCACCGGGTCTACACTGATCCACTACGACAACGATGTTAACCCAGCCTTCCACTATTATGAGTGTGTGGGCACCGGCCTGAACATCTTTCAAATCACTGGTAGCACTCACTCCAGACTCATCCAGTGCCTGACGTCACAAGTTCCTTCCCTAGGATTTCATGACGACCTTGCCAAGTATCAGCACTTGGGCACAACGTCTGGAGAACACGACCAGCCTGGAGACAGGCCTCCTCCAGACACCCCAGGTGTTTCATCACCAAGTGAAGGTCGCCTGTTTACAATCTACGAAGAAAGCGAGGAACACGACATCCAGGCTATGATGATGGAAGAGTGGTACGATGAGCTACGTATGGACCTTCATCCCACAACGGTTATCGACGACTATCTCTACTGCGTCCCAACAACCAGGCTGCCCGACCAATGTGTCTTGGTCTCAGCATCCGTGGACGAGGAAGATACCGTAGTGTCGGAGATGCTCGGAGACGAGCCTGAACCACAAGAGCCCTGTCTTGTCTCTCTATGCTCGACTACACCTGACGAGGGCTATTCTCTTGACAGTGATGAACATGGTCCCTATGTTGAGCTATGTTTCTCGCAAGAAATGCCAAAGGTAGTGTTGGATCAGACCCAACTTGCACAGCTTGAAACAGACATGGTCGCAACGATGAGAGTATATGTATCATCGGCTGCTAAACGCGCTGTGGTAGTCAAGGAAGACGACCTACTCACCAAAGCTGATATAGCGGCACATCCTAAAGAGGTTAGTGAAGCTTTGCACACCAAACTCAAGATCTGGCTTGACAACCGATGTTTTGAGATGTACGACCTATCTAAAGCTTCCAACATCATGACATCCAGATATGTATACAAGTGGAAGTTTGTGAAGGTAGGCACCGAGAATGTTAAAACCATCCGTATTAGACTTGTCCTCCGCGGATTCATGGACACGGAGGCTTTCGATGTACAAACCTTCTCAGGAACTGCTCGAAGGCAGTCCCAGAGGCTCCTGGCAAGCGAGGCGGCATGCCATCCAGAATGGATCTTAGCATCTATGGACATCGACAAAGCGCTCCTCAAAGGACTGACCTATGAGGAACTTGCTCATGCCACCGGCGAGGAAACTCGCATGGTTTGCTTCACCCTTCCACCAAGAAGTGCCCAGGTGCTTCGTACACTACCAGGCTTCTCTTCTTATGATGAAAGCCGACACTGCCTCGGGTGCCTCAAGCCAGGAACGGGTACAAAGGACGCCCCAAGAGCGTTCTCCCCCAAGCTTCGTACGACTACACGAGCTATAGGCCTTACACCGACAAGTTACGATCCTGAGTTCGAATTCAGTCAGGATCTGTTAACGGCAAAACATGTCGACGATATCAATATGACAGGCCTGCAGAAAAACGTAGATGACTTTGTACAACGTGCCGAAAAGGTGTTTGGTAAATGCAAGCTCAACAAACATTACTACACGAGTTGTGCCGCTCGTTACACGAAGAATGAATAAGGGGACGCGATCATGGACCAGGACGAGCACATTAAACAACTACGTCCTATCACGCACCCTGAACTTACGGGGGCGGCGGCAGACGCCAAAGCTACCAAACTCATCACCGACATGTTCGTTAGCCTGCGAGGAGCTCTCGCCTATGCCCTTCTTACTCAAGTCTGGCTTATGGTGTATGTGGTCTCTCTCCAGAAGATCCAGGAGCCCACCAACTTACAAGTCAGGCGACTGAATGCTGTGACGCGAAAGCTGATCAGCAGCCCGAAACGCATCACCTCCCCTCGGATGAAACCGACGAAGTCGACATGCACAGTGATTCGGGGTATCGGAAACTCACCGGGGAGGAGGGCGATGAAACCGAGGGCTGCGGCATTCGTGGGGCTAACGTATTACGGCGAGGAAACTCGCCTCAAGGCAAATCCGTCATTCACCTTTGCGACGGACTATGCAAATCACACCGACTGCAGGTGGGGTCCAGCTATGCCGATGAGGCATTTGCAGCTGCACATAATCTTGATGAGTGTTATCCCACGCTCATCGCTCTCCACGAGCTCAAGGCCGGAGCATTTACTCCACGACAACTACGAGATGTGCGTGAAGTTGGAGGCCTAGCTATCAAAGTATGCCTTACTATAGACGCTGAGTCTGTATACAAATCGCTATCCAGCAAAGATCTTAAGATACCGACGGAACGGACTTTGCTGGGACATATCAGTTGGATACGTGAGCTCATGGATATAGGTCTAGTGCATAACGCACAGTGGTGTGACACTAGAGACATGACCGCAGATGGGCATACAAAGGGGGGTATCGATCGGGAGCTGATTTTGGAAATGATGTCAGGCACTCAGTCATTTCAGTATGACGCGAAGCAGTTTGTTCCCTTTCGAGGCCCCAAGGACAAAAACACAAGCCTAAGTCGAATCAGTTTTAGTATGTCCTTGTTGCCCCCGCGGTCCAGTTTGCCAGCGCGGGCGCCTAATACAGAGGCGCCCTCTTATCTGCTCGGAAACGAGCCATACTTTTCACGCTTGGTAGCGAGCCTGTTCGGATTGGTGCAGGCTCTTCGCCCCAATACCCTTTCGCCCGGAGGGGAATAGCCTGTTTGGCTTACCTCTAGCCGGGCCGATAGCCCTTGTATATCCAAGGGGCTATCCTGCGCGTGTGTGGAAAAGTTTTGCGAGGAAACTCGCCGGCGAATAATATCGCCCTTCAGTCTGGTGGTAGGCCAGACTGTGCGTGCTGTTTTTCTTGCAAACACTTGCGCGCGCGGCCTTTCTAGAGCCTAGCGGCTGCGCGGAATTACTCTCCGTCTCCTCCCCTCCCGACTTTAAGGGTAGCTCTTTGGGAGATGTTATAGAGGATCGGGAGTATAGCCTGCGCGCCGCTGCCTTTGGCTGAAGGCACGCGCGCCCTATTCGCCCTGACACTTACTTTAGTGTTTGCTATGTGCTGGAAAGATCACTACATCGATCTTGTCCTATCCTATCCATCCACTCCCCATATCGTATTCCTTCGACATGGAATTGGATGCTATATGACATGCCAGAGTCATTTCAGACTGAGGAGGAGGAGGAGGAGGAAAAGGCGGAGGAGGAGGACGACGAGGAAGACGAGGAGGAGCTTATTCCGCAGCACCGCCCCAGCCCGCAGTTGCATCCGCTGCTCTTTGTGCGAGGGCCACGTCTGCCCCCCTGCGCGGGGAGCCCCTCGCTGTAGCACGCGGCGGGGCGTCCCAGGCGGGCCCGCGCCTAGAAACCGAAGCCTTGCATACATCCAGGAGGGAACAAAAACACACTGACACAATGAATCGTCGTTTCCCCAGAAAATATAGGAAAACATGGGGAGTGGGGCGGAAAACGAAACCCTAGAAAATATACGTAGGAAGCGATGGGGAATATGTTTGTTTGTGTGTATGTACTTGTGTGTCCCGGGGCCCCTTCATACATATCCATACGCAGGGGCACCCAGGCTTCTCTGAGTCCGTGCACGACCCATCCCAGCCAGACCCGATCCTCCGACGCGGCCGCGTTCGGTTCCTCGCGATGGCCGCCGCCGCCACGGGGCCCGGCGGATTTTTCTGCGGCGGCTCCTGGACCCCGCCCCTCTCGATCTTCTCCGGCGTCGCTGCCGGGGGCGCCGTGCGGCGCGACTTGGGGCCCTTGCCGCAGGCCACGGGCCTTTGCCTCCTCCTCCTCCTCCTCCTCCTCCCTCCTCCTCCTCCCCTTCCCCTCCTCCCTCCCCTCCTCCTCCTCCTCCTCCTCCCTCCTCCCTCCTCCTCCTCCTCCTCCTCCTCCTCCTCCTCCTCCTCCCTCCCTCATCATCATCATCATCATCATCATCTCGTCCTGGGACGGGAGGGCGTGCGGAAGCATCGGGGATGCGCGACGAGCTTGTCCTGGTCCTCCTCCTTCGGCCTCCTGCTCCCCTCCCTCCCCTCTCCTCCTCCTCGTCCTCCTCCTCCTCCTCCTCCTTCTCCGCCTCCGCCTCCGCCTCCTCCTCCTCCTCCTTTCCTGCTCCCCCCCCTCTCCCCCCCCCGCCTCCCTCCCTTAGAGGATTTCCCTTGGGCCAGTGGGCCTTCTTGGGATCAACCTTGCTTAGTTGCTTGATTGCTGACCCGATTGCGTGACCACCTTACTTCATGGTTGCTTCGTTGCATGGCTGCATGTAAGAGGAGTGTCTGGTTGCCGGCGTTCCGTTCTTGATTGAATGTGCGCGTGCACAGCTGCATGCTTGCATGCTCTCTTGCATGCGTACTGCTCTGGTTCTTTGCGTGTGCGATGGTTTAAATGATTGCACAAGTTCTGCGTTGCTTGCTTGTACGCATAATTGTCAGTTTGGTGTGCCTCTCTGTTTGACGGGATGTGGATGTTTGTGCGCGTGTCTGCGTGCACACATCGCCGAATGGTTGCTTGTCCTGATCGCGTGCTTGCCTCATTACTCGCGTGTATGCTAGATGGCGTGCATGCGTACTTGCTCCATCGCATGCCTACGTGTGTTTACCAGAAGTGTCATTTCGAGCCAACGGTTGAACTGGTGCTGCTAGAGTCGTCAATGCTGAGTGTCCGCGCCTCAACCCCAAGTTAACACTTGAAAGAAGGGGCGTGATTCCATGTGAAGAAACATAAGCGTGCACGATTTCAGTGGCAGGCGGCACTTGACGAGAAGACAGCTCTCAACCTTGTCTGATGTTTCAGTCAGTAACATTGGAGGGTCTGTCAACCGATTCAGTCTGTATACGTGTTTCAAGCGAAGCACAGTGATTCATCATTCAGTGGTGTCCGCTCTGGTGGCTCAGGTGAACAGGCGATTTCGATGTCGCACACATGGCATGGATGTCGCCATGGTCGTCATCGTTCTCGCCCTCCTCGTCCTCCTCCTCCTGCCCTGGTTTCGCATTTGTCGTCCCACTCTCCCTCCTCTTCCTTTTTCCCACCTGTTCCACAAAGGTGTCGGAGGTCACCAGGTCGGGTATGGGTGCGACTAGCAAAAAATGGCGGCACAGTGGCCTACCAAGCTGAAAGTGATCGCCGACGGTACTGACGAGTGGGGGTTCAGTTGGTAGGCTTCAAATTTTCTTTCAGAGGGATGATGAAGACGGCATCAAATGGGCAATGGGTACGTGCGCATGGAAAGCGTAGTCACGGACGGCAAGAATGGACGGCGAGGGGGTGGGGGGTGGGATATGTTTCGTACCGTGGCCAATGCATTGACCAGTCAGCAATTTGGTTGAATCTTTCGATGGGGAACACGTCCGTCAGCCTAACACGACAGAGTTGCAGGCTCGTTGTGATCGTCCGCCTTGACTGTCTTATGTTGACCGAGGGCGGGGGGAGAGGACAGCGAACTGGGGGACTGGATGGGGCGAGGGCAGCTAGCAGGCCTGCGCTCCCCACGCCTGCGCTTCCAGCCCGTCTCCTCCGCCCTTCCTCCTCTCTGCCTCCGCCCTCCTCCCTCTTCCCCATCTGGCCCTTCTCTCTCGTCCTCCACTCCCCCCTCCCCCCTCCCTGCGCACCCTCTTCCCGGGCAAGCCGCCGGGCGCACGCACCCGTGGCGTCGGCGGCCGCGTGCAGGCAGGCGGGGCAGGGCAGCCTCGAGCACTCTTGCCGTGGAGCCAGGGGCAGCGTGTGCGCTCGAGCGGGAGGCGATGGGGTGGCAGACGGTCACGCATGCAATTCTGAAGTCGGGCATGCCCCTCTGCAGGAGGAGTTTCTGCTGCCGCTTACGTTCAAGCTCGGGCGTGTCGAGAGCCCACACGGCGCTCACAGCTCTCGACTCGGGCCGTCTCGCCGAGCAGCGTTCAGGAGAGAAAGGTGCATACACTCTCCGCTGATTGTACCCTCCATATCACCGCCCACAGGCTGGGCTACTTTGTCGATGGTGTGGCCGCGGATTCCTTCGTGGTGTGTCTCGTTGAGCACATCGCGTGTTCACGTCTCCTGCATTCTTCATATTACGTCTCCTACGACAACCCATTGGCGTGGCAGCCAGCATCTCGGTCAGCATGGAATGGATCCTTGCGGTTATGGACATATTCAACATCATTGGCAGCTACACTGTTGGTGACGACACTTACAGAATACGTTTCACCGCATGGTTCAGAGAAATATGGCAACGTACCTATCAAGATCGTATCTTGGCGCTAAGCCTAACAGTGGGAGCTCATGATCAGGACTCCCTCACCAGAGCCAGAAGATGGTTTAGACGAAGACGGTTTTCCATCCCATCTTCCGCGTACTCTTCCGTCGAGTCCTTCACCAGGCGACTGGTGGTATATGATGGGCCGTCGCCGCTGCACAAACTTCGACGAGGACTCCGACAGGAACCCCGACTCCCCATTCTCAGACCCCCTCATGGAGATGGAGCGCCAGGAGGACTGCTGGGGTTGCTAAGTGATCGAGGTTGCTGCAGTTGCTGGTACCTCAGGTTCCTCCTGCTCTTTCTACTATGCCATTCCTGTTGTGCTACTGGTGACGGTGACAAAGGTCTTCACCCTGTACGGTTCGAGTTCCCTCGCCCAACGCTGTGTGCAGTTGGTACCACCTCAGCAGAAACATTCATAACACGTTCTTTATCTCCTGAACCTCAGAGGCTCCCAGAACAGCGGTTTCAAGACGTGGTTCAATTTTCGTGTTCACTACTTTCAGTACCGACATCGTTGTCAACATTATCCTACATGCTCAATTTCCTGGGTCGTTTCCTGTTCCGTGATGGGCAAAAACCAGTGGTCAAGGGCCAATAACTGTTCTCGGCAATTGCAAATATCAGCACGGTATCAGGTATCATACGTATTCATCGTGTTCTCCAGTTGTGTCCAGTTCCAACGTGGGTGGCAAGAGTTTGTCGGCTGCTACCGTCAGAGTGGCTCTACCTATACAAGCATCTAAATTCGGACAGCCGTGTAGCGCAGTGGTCGAGAACAGCGCCCCACCCCTTCGTTACACACGGTGCGATTGAACTAACATCCGGCGTCTACGTTCTCTTCAACTCAGCTAGCATGCATGTTGGAAAAAAAAAACAAGCATCAAGCGGGCAATGATCTCAGGAGTTGCAGGCCGTCTCTCATCACATCTCAGATGTGTATTTTGCCCGACATCTGGCGACGGACTTCGACCTAGGTGTGCTCTTCGTCGCAGGAGTCTTGGCGACCTCGCGTTCTTCCCCCTACTTGTTATTTGGTTCTCTTTTTTTCGGCGTCGTCGGCAGCGTGCCACTACGAGGCTTTTGGTGATCCGACACTTCCAACCCATGTGCAGCCAAGCAGATACATTACAAGATGCCAAACACAAGGTCCGCCAAGGCGATCATCTTCTCCAGGGCTTTCGGTATCGACGTATTCCCCGCAGACGTCCTCCCCGCTGGCGACGCGCGCGTGTCTCTCATGTTCGCGTATCCCCATGGCTTCAATCGGTTCATCCAGATGTTCGCCCAGTCCACCGTTCGCCACTACAAACAACCGTGCTTGCAGACCTCCTACCGGGCGTTCTATCTGACACTGCCCCTTTTCCCCACCCTCTACGTGGCACAGCAGAGGCAACACTTTGCAGACGCGGGCGAAGTTGGGCCCTTATGACTATGGGAACGCCGTCGAATTGGCTTGCTCCTGGCATGGTTTGCTCGTCCACGCACCCCCCTACGTGTGCCGCAGTGGCCGGCGCGGCAGATTGCGTCTTTCCGAGTGTGGGCCGCGACGCTGGCTCCTGACCTACTCCAGTCTCGCAATCGAGTTTTTCATGCGTTCAAGATCATCGATATCATTCTTCGACGCCCACGGCTTCTTTGCATGCGCATCCCTGTTCTCAAACTCCCCTGCGAGATGAAGCGTGGAGAGGGTCTTCGTTGGTTTCGTGCTTAATTGAGGCGTCTTACTTCTTCAATCAGATTGGAAGACTCTCGGACGTGGATCCGCGCCGGGGCGAGGTGCACCTTCGGGCGCCAGTTAACGCGGAAGGGCAATATCAACGCCCCTTCATTGCGCCGCGCGCACAAGGCATAATATATACCTAGGCCGACGAGCTGTGCGCGCCCACCTCCACCATAGGTCTTCGTTGCTTACCTGGAGCGTGGAGACGTCCACGGTGGTCCTGCACTTAAGTTGTTGGTGGCCGAGTGCGTTTCGATTTTCAACTATTGGGGCCAGCATGTCGGGATTCATCAGGCGCCACTCCGGCGGGCACTCGCGCGACTCCGTGGCGGGCCAGGTTTTCAGCGGTCAACGTCGACGCCATGGGTGGCGAACTCTTCTTCTCGGATGGCCTGGGCGATTTCAGAGGTGCGATCTACTTCTTCGCAGGTGCGGTGGCCCCCTTTCACAGGCGCAGTCTCCTTCTTCGCAGGCGCTGTCTTCTTCTTCGCAGGCGCGATCTTCCACTTCGCAGGTGTCGTCTACTTCAGAGACGCGGTCTACACCCCCAAGGCGCGCGACGTCGACACCTCCTGCATCCCCTACACGTTCGTCTTCTGATTCGCGCGTCAGCTCCTCGGGCCCTAGACTGGGTGAGCTTCCGCCCGCTTGGGGCGGAATAGAGCAAGCCTTGTCATTAGCATTGCGTGAAGCGGATGAGTGTGTCATTATTGGAGACGACAAAGTTGCAGATCGCGTCTGGTCAGCGAATGGTCCAGATATGGCTCGTTGCACTCTCCAATCCATTTCAGAGGATCCAGCGTGGCGGCAGCGGCCAGACATGTCAGAAGCGGATGTGCGCACATGGGCCTGGGCAAGAGCAGTGTCTGCACTTCCTGTCTGGTTTCGTGGGCCGCCCCAGCTCCCGCGCCCTGAATCACCTCCCCGACCTCCCATTGTCTTCCCACCCGTGAAGTCGAAGTGTTTCTCAGTTACAGGTGATAGGCTTTGCAGGAAAGCGGCTCGCAGCTGTCTCAGGAGAGCCATCGACACTTCAGGGTTTCCTGGTATGTTTGGTTCTCGGATTCTTGGAAGGGCCGCTCGGAACTTCTTGAAGTGGTCAGAAGCGGGTGACGAGTGTTTTGACATCAGATTCGCAGTTGATGATGCTCGGTCCCTTCGTGTCAGTCTTCTCGCAGCTCCCCCCCCGCGTTGTCGTCGCTGCGGTTGCGACGTTACGGAGGTCAGTGTTGTCTCATGTGATGCAGACCAAGCTCATGAGCAGCGCAGTGCAACAGCTATCACATCTGCACGGTGGTTCGTAAAGCGTTCTATTCAAACAGCGACGCCGACCGAAGCTTGTCTCGTTCGAAAAGGAAAGCGCTTAAAGATCTACCCGTCGGTCAAATCCTTCGCTATGTCAGATACTGCTGTGCCATCGGGCTACTATCGCGTAGCCATGGCGGACGTATTCCTAGCTCTATCGGTATACTGTTGGGCGTCCCTGGTGAGCGCCTTCGGAATCGTTCTCGAGCTCCAAGGTCTCCCAATCGGCGGTGTACTGTCTGGTGTTGCACTCAGTGTTTCAATGTGTTCTCAGTAGTCTCGGGCGAAGCATGGTCAAACCCGTTTTGTTCGAGGGGTTTTCCACCGCTCCAACCGCGTGAATCATATGATGGTGAACTACGTCGGCATGCTGACGACATTCTAGGTTGACTTACTTCTTATTGCGGAGGGTGCACGGCACAGTTTATACACACCGCGTACGATGTACAACTGTCGACGGCTTCCTCTCTTTTATATTCCTCGGCTACCTGGCTCGACTTAGAAGTTATTGTGGTTGGCTCGGTGGTCGTCATCATTCCAAGAAACGACAATCGGGCGTAGCTCTACGATCGGACGCAACCTCGTATGCGGGCTACGGTTCTACCATCTGTGGGTGCTCTTCCTCGTGGCTTTGCTGGCCTGTACAGCCTCCTGGCAAATCGACTCTCGCGGGCTCGGTCTATGAGGTTTTCGGTGTTTCTGGCTTCCTACTGGTTGCTTGAGCTTTTACTCGGGATGTTCCTCCCCGGGCATCCACTACCCCTTCTGCGTGCTCTTTTTCACCGATGCCCGTGGAGTCTGGAGGTTCAAGAAACTCGCTGCGTCCTCAGGTCTTGGCTTCGACTACTGAACCCCCCACCCCGCGCCAGTCGATGGGGCCTCCGCGCAGGGGCGACCACTCTGGCAAGGGTGGCAGAGGCCATGGTGGTGGACGAGGTTTCCTCCGAGGCAGTCGTGGCGGACGTGGCGACCGCCGTGGTTGGGACTACCGCGATGATCGACGTGGCTGGGGCCCGTCGCGGATGTGGTCGCGACAGTCTGGGCGATAGAAATGATCGTCGCGATCGGCGGCATCATGGCCACGCGTCAGACTCGAACGACGAGGCGAGGAGATCCATGGAGGTTGAGCGGCCCAGGCGCTTCGTAGCCAAGAGGGACCCCGAGTGCGCGAACTTCTTGGCAGAGGCGCGCCAGGCGAAGAACGAGGAGCAGCTGCAGGCGCAGGGCAAGATCCTCGCAGCGGCCATGAAGTCCAGCCTTGAGGAGCACGTGGCGGAGATCTGCGGCCAGGGCTTCACCCCACAGTCAGTGGGAACCCCTCCAGGTGCCGTGCCAGGCGGCCCGCCAACTCCGAGTCCATTTCCGCCATCGCCGCCAGGTGCTGTGCCTGCCACGGTTCCGAGTGGCCTCTGGGCGGTCGCCAAGGCGTGGCTCAAGAGCCTCGCGGGCGCGGCGGTCATCCCAGAGGACCTGTCCAAGCAGAGCATCACTACCTTCCTGGCCGACTGCATCTCCAAGGATTCCGAGGCGAAGGAGCGGGTCAGGTTGATGCTGGAGCCAGCGGACATTGGCAAGTCAGTTCCAAGGCATGTCAAGCAGCGTGCGAAATGTTATTGGGCCTGAGTGACATCAGACTAGTATCAAAGTGGAGCTTCGTGCGGAGAGGCCTCCAGCCGCGGGGTCTAAAACATGTACATGGTGGAATTTATTCAAAGAACGGTTTGGCTTCTCAGTCTTGTGCTATCCTACATGGTTCTCATCATCTACCTCGCCCTCGACCTTTTCCCAGTCTCCTTGCAGTGGTCAGCGCCAGTACTTGAATGGCAGGTGGGTGTATCAGATCTTCCAGCATTTTGGCGGTGACACGCCCTACTGCTCTGGGTCGACTTTCTCGCGTTCGCTTTCGTGGTTCGCAGGGCTGGGCGTGATAATCCAAAGATTAAGATTTGCATTATGTGTTCTGATAGTCTGCATTCTATGCTACGAGACTCTGATGCACTCGACAGTGTTGCACATTGGTGATGATTGGGGTTCTGATCCAGACGTGACCAACACAGAGTTCAAGGCTACGAGTCCATCTTTCTCGACGGGTTCAACTTCGACTGATACCTCTGCATCAAAGTTTGCAGCTCTCTCGGATATTGCAGTAGCGTGGTGGACCTTGCACGTTTCTCGCCGCTCAGAGGCGAGGTGCCTGCAGAAGATCATCGACACCCCCGGCTTCCCCCACCAAGGTCCACAGCCAGGAGGACGAGGCAGCCCTTGCTGCTTCTGCTAGCCGTGCTGCTGCAGCCGCGCTATCGTGGGCGACTCGATGAGTCGGGAGGTGGAGTGGAGCGAGACTGCCGCTTGTGATGTGTGGTGAGGTTTAGCCTCCCACCCTGAGTTTGGGTCCTCCCCCTCCCCCTCACCCTCTGATCATTATGACCATTCTAAAACCTATTCTAAAATATTTTAGAATCTGTCGGACGAGCGGCGGAGGAGAGGAGAGATTAGATCCCCTCGTGCCTGTGCGAGAGTCCAGACAGCTAGATGCTTTTGCTGCCGCTTACGTTCAAGCTCGGGCGTGTCGAGAGCCCACACGGCGTTCACAACTCTCGACTCGGGCCGTCCTCGCCGAGCAGCGCTCAGGAGAGAAAGGTGCATACACTCTCCGTTGATTGTACCCTCCCCCTCCTCCTCCCCTTCCTCCTCCTCCTCCTCCTCCTCCTCCTCCTCCTCCTCCTCCTCCTGTTCCTCCTCCTCCTCCTCCTCCCTCTCCTGGGCGGCGGACGGCGCAGCCCTTCCGGAACGGCTACCCCTTGCCTCCGCACGTGCAGTGCCTCTCCGTTGCCTCCGTCGCCCGAACGGACTCCCCTCTCCCCTCGCCCTCCGCGGCCCTGCTGCGCTGCCTGCCCGCGGCCTGCCCGCGGCCCTTCCCCCTTCGCCCTCCGCAGCCCTGCACCCGCCCGCCCCCGCGGCCCACTACGCCCCCGATGCGGCCTCGCAAGAGCTTGACGACCGCCTCCCTCGAGCGGCTCGCGCACATGCAGGAAGGGACAGAAACACGCAGACACAATGAGTCGTCGATTCCCCGGAAAATATGGGAAAACGTGGGCAGTGGGGGGAAGACAAGAGCCCAGAAAATGTGGGGAATCACTGGGAATCCTTGTATTTGTGTGTATTTGTTAGTGTGTCCCAGGGCCTCTTCACACATGACCGACCCACGACTACGACCGCCCCGATCGCTGGCGCCGCAGCCCCGGCCTCCGCGGCGATGTGCTCTCTGAGGCCGAGCTGGGCCTCCCGCCTGGCAGGCGCCTGGACGCCCCGCCCGCGCACGCGCCGAGCACCTTTGGGATGACTTTGTGGACCCAGTAGTCGAGTAGGGGATCGACCACAGAGTTGATTTACCCCGAAGTGGATTCCCCATCGAGTCTACGACGAAAACCTTAGAGTGTTCGTACCTCTACGGAGACTCCAGCATATTCTCCTTAGATTCGACGAAAAGATAATTTTGGGGTAGATCGATTCTGCAGTCGATCCCCTGCTCGCAGAAGGTGTTTCCAGAGAAGCTTTTAATCTTTTGGGGCCAATCGCTTCTGCAGTCGATCCCCTGCTCGGACGCAGGCGCTTCCAGAGAAGCTTCCGGCACGGGCCGCTGGCACCGCAGCCGGGCCCTCCCGCCGCGGCACGTGCCGCTCGAGGCGGGAGCCGGACGCCCTGCCCCGCCCGCCGCCCGGCACGCGCGCGCGCCCGGCCCGCCTCTCGGGCGGCTGCCGTTCGCAGGCCCAGAGGTGGACACAAACACGCACGAAACCGACAAATGCACGGGAAATGGACGTCCGAGCGACGGCAAGCCCCACGTTCCCCCTGGAATGGGGAACGAACAATGACACAAGCATGAAAACTCGGAGGTCCGCGCGGATTTCTCGGATCCGCGCTGGACCCCCCTGGCGGCGCCTCTGGCGCCGCCCCTGGCGCGCTCCGCGCGCCAGGGAGGGGTCCAGCGCCGATCCGAGAAACCCGCGCGGACCTCCGAGTTTTTATGTGTATGTCATTTTTCGTTCCCCTATGGAATCCTGGATCTTCCGCAGGGTTCAGTGGGCTCCTGCATGGCGCTCCCCCCGGGCCGGCCCTCCTCCCTCCCCTGCTCCTTCCTTCCGTCCTTCCCCGCCTCCCTCCCGCTCGCACCCCAGCCAGCACCGACGTGACGTTCTCAGTTCTCCTGGCAGGGTTTGAGGAGGAGGAGGAGGAGGAGGAGGAGGAGGAGGAGGAGGAGGAGGAAGAGGGGAGGAGGAAGGGTTGGAGGAGGAGGAGGAGGAGGAGGAGGAGGAGGAGGAGGAGGTGGACTCCAGCACCGACGTGTCGCCCCTGGAGTCCACCCGCCCCTCGCTGGCGCCGCGGGCCCTGCTGCTGAGCGGCGGGGACTTCGCGCCTGGGCCGTCGCGGGGCTCACCTTGGATTCGCGAGGGAGCGACGGCATACCGATGCCAACGCTTCGGCCAGCACGCTGCAGGTGGCGCACCAGCCGGTCGTTGAAAGTAGGTATTTTTGGATGCCCAAGTCCTAATCTATTTTCGGCGCCTTCCTGCCTCAAGAGTTGAGCGGCTTTCCTTCTTTCCTCCTCTTCAGGGGGCGGGTGGAAGCCCAACCTACTTCCAACGCCTTCCTACTTGATGTTTCAACCCACTTCTTCCGACCGGCGTGTACCTGTGCTGCCGCAACCACGACGCCACCTCGATGCCCCGCCAGGACGGCGCTGGCACGGCGGGGCGGCTGCCGCTCGAGAGCCCCAGGGACCCGCGCGTCGCGGGGGCCGCCGTGGCGACCCCGAGGGGCGGGGACTCCACGAGGACGCAGTGCGACGTCGACGCCGTTCGGGGCACGTCCCGGGCTCGTTCGAGCATGAGGGGGGGATTTCCAATCGACCGACGAGCGGTCCAGCGAGGCCTGGGCTGCTGGGGGGGGGCCTGCCCTCTTGCCGCGCCGCCCCTCGCCCCTGGGGGACACGGGACCCGGGTCCAGGCCTGGGCCTGCACCAGCCATCCCCCTCCCCCTCCCCCTCCCCCTCCCCCTCCCTCGTGCCCCCCGCCGTGCTTGGAGCGCCCCAGGAGGCTCCCCCGTGCAGGAGTGTGCATCCGCCCTGCCCGCGAGGAGTGACGCCCAGTCTGTCTTCGACCCGCAGGTCGCGATGGCCTTCGTCTCCGAGCCCTCCGCGTGCCCGCCAGTGCTCTGCCCCAGCACCCGCACCCACGGCAGCGGTTCGCCCAGGCACTTCACCAGCTCCGCCGAGTTGTACTTCCTGCATCACCTGTCTGCATCACCTGCGAAGCGGCGCCTCTTCCGCACCTGGGGCCGCATCGGCAGCTTCGAGTCCGGCGAGTTTGGCTTCGGCCTCTTCGCCCCGGCCTCGCGCGCCGCCTGGAGTCGCGAGGGCGCTCGATCGCGTCTACGGCGTCCTCAGCCTGACCCCCCGGCCATCGTGACGCTCCTGGGCCAGGTGGCGCCATTGGGTCCCAGTACCTGCACTGCCTCGCAGGGCGTCTCATGGTAAACACGGCGGCACCGCAGCTGATTCTTCTGGCGTCGTGCTTGGCGGCTTCGCTCATGAAGTTTGTGGTCATTGGAGCGGCGGTGCTCGGCTAACCTCAGCAACGAGCGCTGGCGGGTGCGTGCGCTTCGGCACTGATTTCGGAGCTCCACTTCGCCCGGCCAGTGTGCATTGCGATGACGATGGCTGCGACCTGGGCCCCGAGCCCCACCAGGTACTCCCAATCGATCTCTGGATGGTGGGAGCTCACGGCGTCTTGATGGGCAGGGCCGTCTTCACCCCGGCCTTCCCGGCGGGAGGCTCCGACGGTGCGGACGCGTGCAGCGCGTGCTCCTTCGACCGCCGGCGGCGCACCTGCCGCCGCGGCGCGGCGAGGTCGAGGAGCCCAGGGGCCTCCTCGGGCCCTCCCGGCAGCAGCCTCCGGGGGCGCCTCCTCGAGGGCCGCCCCGGCTCCGAGGGAGAGCGGCCTCCCCAGGCGAGAGGTCTCCGTGCACAGCACTTTCCCCCGAAGTACACGGAAGAGCGACCTTTCGCCGGAGTGAGATTCTGTCGGATATAGCCAGGACCCCAGGCAAGGGGACCCGGTTAGTGGTAGGGCCCCGGAGCCCCTAAATTGGCTAGAATCGCGAAACCAGGTCTGCCGTAGCTGGTGTCTTTCGGGTGACGGCAGTTCCGGTCAATTAGTGGACCGGGCTGGGGGGCGTCCCCCAGGACACATCACTAAACCAGGTCACACTAAACCCAGTTCTGCCAACGCCCGATTTTGGTGCGGGCACACTGGGATCCCCCGATCACCGATTGCGATGCGATAGTAGCGTTTTACGCGCTGGAGTTTGGTCCCCCCCGCGGGCCCCCCAAATCCGCGCACCAAAGGTCGCTCTTACCCAGGGTCGCTCTTGCGTGTAGCCGATTCGTGGATACTGGCCGGGCCCAGGGCTCTCCAGGCCGACTGCTTCGACGCAGCCGCACCGAGGGTGACAAGCCGGATGCTCGCCGGAAATCCGCATGGGGGAGATGCGAATCGATGCGGGTCGGGAGAGGCTCATTGATGCCGGCATCCCGCTGGCGGAGCAGCGGCGGCGGCAGGTACATCCACCAGCAGCTGCTGCAGGAAATCCGTCGCCGCCCGGGGGGGCCCCACCAGCAGCAGAACATCGTGCCCCTGTCGCGGCCGCCGCCGCCCCTGACCCACCGCCCGCAGTGGCCCCACCACCGGCTCACGTTCTGGCCGCCGCTGCTGCGGCCTCCGCCGCCGCACAGCTTGCAGTGGCCCCGTTGGCGGCTGCCTTGGGGCCGGGAGCACAGGCCCCGCCGCCGCCGGCCCCTGCCGACGACGTTCCGGCCCCTCCACAACGGCACGCCCGGCGTGCCCCGGCGGTTGCCTTGTCCCGGGTTGCCCTCGTGCTGACCTGGCTTGTCGCGCTGGCTGGTCAGACCATGCGGCCATGCGCCCGCGCCTCAACGAGCACGCGGCTGGGAGATTTCTGGGCCTCCCGCCGGTCCCAGAGGCTTAGTTGGATGAGCAGTGCCTGTCACAATGCTCAGTGTACCTGCGTTACCTGCACTCGCGCCACGGGCGCGCGTGTCCGAGGCGCCGCCCCGCTGCGCGAGCTGCCGCTGCCGAGGCCGCGCCGGCAACTGACGACGGCGCCCCCCGGCCGCGCGGCTTGCCCACCCGGCAGGAGGTCTTCTCCCAACGAGCGAGCACAAAACACTACGCGTCCAAGAGGGCGCGGGTCCTCTGGGCCCGCTGCTTGCCTGAAGGCCCTGCGTAGTTAGTAACAGTTAGCGGAACTTCTAATTGTTATTAACGGAGTTATAACTAGTTAGATTTGGCCAGTTTGAAGCTGTTTTTTAATGTTTATGTTATGTTTTTGCATCTCATGTAGTTGGAAATTGGGGCATCATGATTGGGCGCTTCGTCGATTTGGATCTGCTCAGGGGCCTTCAGATGTTTTTATCGTCCTGGGGCAAACGCGACGGTCCGCAGCGCATCATGTTAGCAACATCGCGATTTGTATTCTACTGGCCAAATGCACGTGATGTCGTTCTCTATTTTCCTGTAAATCACAGGAGCTTTCAGCGAGGTCAGAGGCATCAGAACAGGGTCTGTATCATCTAAAAAGATGTGTCTGGAAAAACCTTCAGCGGCGTTCACATGCTTAGTTGCAAGCTGCTGGACAAGCACCTGCGACTCGCCATCGTCGCATTTCACGTGAAACCACACTTGCATTGCTGCATGCATCCCGCCCGACCCCAGAAGTACGATATCACCGCGCTTGATGCGGCCGAAATCTGTCATGGCTTCGATGCTGGAGACGGCTGTCTGCGTCCCAGGGCACATGCGTTTCAACGCATTCAGCAGCTTCTGTGTTGCTTTCGTTGGGTCGACTAAGCCAGGTGAAACACGCATGGTCTTTAAATCGTGCGCGTGCTGCGCAGTGAGTTGGACCATGAGAGCCTTCTCTGGCCCCTTCTTGCACATGTGGTCTTTGGCGAAACGTTTTACGTTTTTGTGCTTGCGTTCCTGGACAAAGCAACTGAGCGACCCATGTTTTTCAAACATTTCTGGCAAATGTGTTGCCATATGGTGCTTATACACCCAATAGCTTTCACCATATGCGTCCTGATGGCACCGAAGATGTTTCACTATCGCTGACTCTATCTGCGCGGTCGTGACTGGAAGCCGCCGCGCCGCCGTGATGATTATGTCAACGGCATCTTGCAATGCCAGCATACTTGCGATCTGGGGGGCCACTTGATCCGATGAAGGATGCATGGCAATTACTTGCCGAATATACCTGCACAAAACAGGCAACGCAGAGATCTCTTCTGAGGCACTTGCTTGGAGCTCACCAGTCTCCCATACAGTTGCGGCTGAGTGGTGTTTACTCGGCCACGTCCACTTCATGAAATACTCATGCAACTCCATTGCATCACACAAACACTTGAACTGCGCATGCCCTAAAAGTGCTTTTACTTCTCTGTCGAATATACCAGACACAAAATAAATATGCATCCAGTCAAAGCAAATGAATGACGCAGGGAGATATCGCAAACCTGGGTCCAGCGCTATGTGTTCGGGGTGGAAGTTCCATCCTTTGTGCTGTGTGATGGTCGTGTACTGCCCCTCTGAAAACTCCCCCCGCTGATATTTATCCCAATCGGGCCGAAGTCGTTCCAGGATCGCGATGATTGTCGCGTCATCGTTTCTGCGTATCTTTGACGCATCCAAGCGCGCGTCTGTCACAAAGAAACCAGATACATCATATGTCAAATAATCAAACTTTCTATTCAAGGCGTTGCGACATAACGCGCAGGGTTTGGAACCGGCGTGCCCTTTGTTCATGTGTAGTTCCCGCAATGCCTCTTTGTCCCCTATGACGCACGACAGCTTCGCGACGATCGTCGCGTGCGACGTTGCGTCGCCGTTCTCTGACACGTCTAATGTAACACCGCTCGTCTCAAAATTGAAACCGCCAGCAGAATTAAAACAAACTTCTTTGAGGGTCATCTTGATGCACTGCCCGATGCCACCTGGGATGCTTCTTATTTTTGCGCACCGCGCAGTGCTAAGCGTGAACCACGCATCTTCGTTACCCAAGGACTCGTCGAACTCAGCGAACGACCAGTAAACAGCATCAACCCCCCGATAATCTTTCCCCTTCGCCAGGGGGTCTCGCGGTGAAATACCATCGAAATATAAAATGATGTGCCACGGCGACGCCAAGCTGCATGGGTGCTCCTGAAGTGAGCGGCGAAACATCTCCCTGACTGGAGCGCTAGCCTTGCAGCAGGAATACAAAAATGGCCCAGGACAGCACACCCAGTTCTCGAAAGTTCTACCACTGACTAAAGGCGTGTCTATGCAACGCAAGACGTTCCCATATGCGTTCGACTCTTTGGCAATGATGTTTTCGTTTGCCCTGTATTGTGAGCTCCGTGAAATATTGTCGGGCAACCCATGGTCTCGCACATATTTTAGGACACCCGACAGAGCACGCTGTGACAGGTATGAGCCCCTGTGGAGCTCCACCAGCGCCTCATCCGCCTTGCGTTTCCTGGCGGCGGACGCGGCCATGGTTTCAGCCCAAATGGCTACAGACTCGATAACGATGCCAATGCGCATCATAGGATGCATGCGTCGCGTTATGGTAGGGGCACGCTGCATGATGCATCTGAATGCAGCGAGGCGATAGATCACAACAGAAGTGCACGTTGCATAACGATGCATATGGCATGATACGACGTCGCATCAGAAGGACATGTAGGTGCATAGTGATGCATACGAAGTGCGACGGTAGCTCGCGAGAGAAAGGAGTGTTGCATTTTGATGCATGCGACTTGCGATGAAAAGATCGCAACAGACTTGTGTTTTAGACATCATGGTGCAACGTCATACAAGCAAGAGGGAGTTCGTCGATGTGGCGCCGCCCACCGCCGCGCTGCAGCTGCGATGCGAGCTCCCAGCCCTGCTGGTCCTCAACAACCCCCTGGTCCTCCCCCTCCCCGCGTCGAGCACCTAACACTTGGCGTCGATCCACGCCAGCGCCGCGCTCCAAGCCTCAATGCGATTCATCGTCGCATTGCGGTCGAAGCGGACGCGGCGATCTGCCCTCCCCACAACGGCCCTGAACACCTTCTGTGAAGGCTTGTAGATCACGTAGCCGCACCTGTACGGCGCGTTGCACTCGCGCGTCGGCGGCTTGGGCAGCACGGCGGGCTTTGGCACGGCAGCCGCGGGTCGCCGCATGGCAGGGGGCCGCGCCTTCTTCATTGGCACAGCCCCCTCGGCGTCTTCGACGCCTGCCCCGCCCTCGGCGTCGCCGGCGCCTTCGCCAGCCGCGGAGGGGCGCTTCCTCGCCTTGGCGGTCTTGGCCTTCTTGGCGAGGAGCGCCCTGAGCTTCTCCTCCTCGTCGGTCAGGTCTGGCTCGGGCTCATCATCGCGCGGTTCATCGCGCGGCTCCTCGCGCGGCGGAAGCTTCGGCTCCTGCTGCGGCTCCTCGCGCGGCGGGAGCTTTGGCTTCGGGGGCTCCAGCTCCACGCGCGGCTGCGCAGGCGGCTCGGGCGGCCTGAGAGCCGCGGCCGCCGAGTT